AGAAAGGAAAAGTGGGAGATTTGGGTTTAGGGGGGGGGGGGGGGGGGGAGAGCCCATTGCAAGAGGAAATGAGTAGTGTAGCCCATGCAAACTTTAACAGCCACCTGCTTGTATGACTGGCGCAGTTGCAGGTGTTTTTTTTTTCTTGGGCAGAGGAGAGGCAGGTGGCAGCCTTTGTAGAAGGCAGACAGGTTTTTTCCCCCATCATGCCTAATTTTGAAGGCCTACAGTATGTCCAAGCAGTAACTGTTACCTGTTTTACTAACTGGATAAATTTGAGAAGGATTTATTTAGGACTGCAGTCATGATGACACAGGTAGCTTTGAAGATTTTTGGTGACTGGGAAGTCAGCTTGCAGTCATAGCTGGAGATTACAATAAACTGCAAGTTTTGACACCATCTTGCTCCCACCAACACTTGGAGAGTAGCAAGGTAAGAAAAATACTACTGAATGTAGAGTTGGTGCAGAGTTGGCTATTTGTGCTTAACAGCTGAGCATAGACCAGCAGCAGAATGTACAGTGCTCGGTTAGAAGCCTGAAGGAGAGGGATAAAAGGATGCCATTACTCCAGCAGTTGTTGATTCAAGTAAGCTGCATTACATTTACCTTGCTGCTCAAAGGTCAGAATAGGTACGTGGCTGTCTGTGCAATGCTGACTGAGGCAAGATACGAGTAGCAAGGTACATGGTGGGCTTTTTGGCTGCTGTCCTTGCTCCAGAACTCTTGTTCATAGAGGGAACCTGAGGCAACCACAGGCACTAAACCAAAAGATTTTTTGTCTAGTATTTATTAGATGGACTGAATTTAGTTTGGAATTAACCTTAAGAACAATCTTAACTTTGTTCTGATGAACATCCTTTCTAGCTCAACATACCATCACTGTTGATTGGAAGAATTTAATTAGTACAGTAACTTCAGGAAAAGGATATGTATTTGTATCAGCATCAACAGTAAGTTAATACTGTTAATAAGCACATAAGCAGCTAAGTATCTCATACTCCAAAGTAATTTAATCAAATTCTTGCATAAAATGTGTAAGCTTCCACTTTAGTTTTTAGTATAAATATTTATTAAATACTTTGTCTTAACCTTTAAAAAAAAAGTCATCTCACACCTCTACATGGTGCTGGCATTATACAGACACTAACTATGAAGTAGCAGAAGCAGCAGCCTCGTAAAAATTGAAGTATGGCCTTCACTGATGGCTTTTTGGTGCATGAAACATTCACATGTAAATAGTCCTGGTCTTCTCAGGTACTGGAGAACTGTAACTATTTGTATTGTAATTGAATGACAGTGCTTTTGAAGAGGAAGGTCTGTAGATAAAAACTGGCTAAAAACAATGTCTTCAAGGCATGAGTCCAGGAATCAGGTTTCACCTGGAAATAAGGTGGCCAAACTACTATTTTACTGTGCAATGTCACTACATGTGGGCACGTGTAATGCCTTCAAGTGTTGATGTTCCACTGGGAGCTAAAACATACTATGTAAAAATCACCTCTTAGTACTGGAATTTTCAGCTGTCAGTCTCTTCCTTAGTGGTAATAACTAGTATCTTCAGTGGCTGTAGGGTGAATAAAGCTCATGTGTTAGCAGCTACTAAAAATCAGGTTCTCTATTTTTAAAAAACTTGGGATTGCTCAAATCAGCAGTGTGGGAAATCTACCCCTACATAATTAAATTGCTTAAGATATTCTGACTGGTTTACACTACCTATTTCGAACAAGTGAAGCAATGTAAATCCATACAGAGAGAACATTTTGGGGATAAGCATGAATATACACAGCTAGAGCAAATTCGACATTGGAGACATCAATGGTATGAACTCCTGTGCTGTGTACAGCTTCTATCAAAGGTCCGACTTCAGAAAATGGCATATGAATAGGAAATCCAGAGACCTGGCAGAAAGAAAGAGGAAAAAACATGTAAGGTAAGAAGAAAAGGTATAGGCACCTGAATAAATACAGAGTTTTAAAAATCTGTTTTACTGTGCATGTAAACTTATCTTTACTGCTAACCTGAGATGCAAGGAAAAAAAGCCTGTTTTTGTAATTAATACAACCTCCCTGTTTCATATACCCTGGGAAGCTTCTGACACTTTTTTTTTCTTTAGTTTGGATTAAGTTCAAAGTGAAGATGTTTAGAAATCTGCTAGAATAAGGTTATATTATTGAACACAAACAGCATAACTTTGCGGCCTTCTGCCTCTTAACTGGTTTTAATTCATGGTGTTTTCCTGTCTGGCACTGGCTGGGGATTTCAGGCGGCAAATGTCTCCTGCCCATAACACATTTCAGGTCCAGCGAACTGAAACTGCAACTCATTTTGAAAGTTGCCATAGTTATGTACAGTATTGATGCGTGCGTGCTTCACATGAAGAGCAGATGGGCCTACCCTTTAGAACAGCCTGGAGGAAGAATGGGTGAGTACAGCCGTGGCTGCAGTGAGTACTTAAATTTTCTTCCATCTTTAAGGCGTGGAGCAAAGAGTAGACAACTGAAGTAAAGCCCATTGTTCTGTGGGCTCCTGCACCTGTAAGTAGACTGCGTGTAGCACTACTCAGCACCTGTGCCAGGTTCTTACAGACCAGACTTGAGAGCTAATGCACCAGTCAACCCATAAGCATCCAGTGCTGGGAGACTGCATTTGTATTTAGGTATTGAAGGTAGTGACTGTTGTGGTACAGTAAGAATACAAGACCAGTGCAGCCAGTTTATCTGTATACTCTTATCTTGACATTCAACAGAGAATTTTTATCTCCAACATCTAAAAATGAATCCCTCCCTCACTCTGTAAATATTACATTAGTTTATCTTTGGTATAAAAGCTTTTGGTACTAGAGGAAATAAATAGCCTAGGACAATTTTCTGTACCATAGGGTAGCGATACTACATCCTAGGGATTTGGATTCCTACTTCCATGCACAAGCCATGGATGTTCACAGCTGTACCCTGTAATCTCCTAGCTGTTTCTGCAGCTCTGCCTGATGGTCGTCTTCTATATCTTTGCCTTGGTTTTGTTCCAGCAGTGGCAGAAAGTTACGTAGGGTAGAGGTACAGTATCTGTTCCAGCGAGTCAGATGCCTTGGTCTCCATTCCATAATCTTATCTTTTAGTATTTTTTCAATCCTGCAATAAAATACACTGATTATAATTTCAGTATTTACTGGACACCTTAACTGATCTCCCTTAACACAGATTATGGGGAACACAAATTGCCTCAGTTAAATTTACCACTACCTAAAAGCACAGAAAAGCAATGCCAATGTAGCTGTAATGGTGCCTGCATGTTCAGTAACAGAAAGGAAGGCCAGGGGCTTAATTTATTTTACATCCTCTCATCCCTCTACCACATTTTGTTTACTAGGAAACTGTACAGTAATGCTTGATCAGTTCTTTCTATGTGGTAATCTCTATCAAAGAGAGAAATTTATTTTTTTTCTCAGTTCCTAGCATTCAAAGCAAGTTTTTAGGACCTAACATGAATATGCTTGAGGAATGTAAGGCACTCCACCGCTAGTGCTCAGCACTGACAGCATTTGTTGTAGAGGTAGTGTTACCTGCCCTGTAGTTCCGCTGCAGCAGCCTTGTCCGAATGCTGGTAAACTAATTCTTCGGGCTAGGAATAAATAAAAAGCTTAGATATTAAAAAGCGCAATTTCTTCTAGCTATACAGCAATGTAACTGCAGGAGTTACTGCCTTGATGGTACTTACAGGTGTTCACAGTTATGCTAAAATCTATTTAGTAAAAACATTGAGATGTTTGTGTGTAATGCTGTGGTGGTTTTTCTTTTCTCAGTAAACTTCAACTGCTTATACCTTTGGTAAACCAGAAAAGAATCCTGTTTCTTTACTAAGGAAGTGTGTACAGCTTGAAATAATGCCTCCTCCCTAGCTGTAAACCAGAAGCTGACATTTTCTTTATGATACTAAGCTACTTCTTTGGATAGGGTTGTGTCAAACATTTGTCCCATTTACTTCACTGTTGTCCTCAGATCTTGTATAGATATTTAGAGGACAACAGATGTGTATTCTGTATAAAACCAAGTACTTTGCTGTATTCCTGCTTTCATTTTTCTAAAGAGTGCCTGGGAAAATCTTTCTAAAACCCAATGCTATTACATAAATATACTGACCCACAGCAGTCCAAGAACTTAAGTCTCTGTTTCTTTATACCAAGTCTGTAATCGCTCGCCCCCTCAAATTGAGTTGGTAATAGATAAATTAATACCTGAATGCTGTGGAGACCAGGGTAGGGCAAGCTTCTTGAAAAGAAAGACTTCCAAAGTTTTGGTTTGCTGATATCAAAACTTATCCTTACTGGGGAATCATATTCTTGCATATTAAACCAAATCTACAACAGAACAAGTTTGTTTTAACTTTCAGCATGTAATCACAGCTATAGAACACATTCTATTTACATGGCAATGAAATACTCTATAATCTTGCCCTCCTATACCAATTACCAGTGCGAGTTCATACAAACCAAGGCGATCTTGTATAGTCACAGCTGATGTGCTGCTTTTGCATTCATGCATCAAAAGGGATGTGCTTCTGAATATGGATTGAAACCAGTGTACAGACAGAGTTGCTGTCTGCAGTTGGCAACTCTTCCTGCTGCATCTTTTTCTCTGTTATTTCCTTTTCAACACCTCAGCTACTGTGCACCACAGCAGTTTTTATGCTTTCACAAACTTTCTGCCTTTACCATCACTTCAGCATCACATGGTGCTGGGTTACAATATGCTCCAGTTTCTTCCACTGTCCTAAGCTGCATTCCCACTCCTCTGGAGTACTACACGAGTTTTTTCTGAATTCTGATGAAATTCTTCCAAGGGCCCAGCACAGTGTGGGTGTGATGCCAAGTACCCTGCTGCACCCCAGTACCATTGCTATTTCAAGCTTATGATGCAGAACTTAAGTAGATAGTGCAGACACACAGCTCTTTGTATATTTTGTCATCAAGGGCAACCTGTCTCTTGCACTCCTTTATTTGTTCACTGTGGTCTGTTTGAGCCTAGTCTGAAGCACACAACTTATCACAGGCTTCTTGTTCAAAATAACCTTTAAATAGCTACTGCTGTGGCTTCAAAATGTACCAACAACTAATATGTAAGTGTACTAATTAATATGTAGCCTTTTCTAACGGATGGTTTTGCGTACAGCCTGTACACAGCATAGCTGCTTCTTCCCCTGTGGGATATGAAGTGGAATTCACAGCTGCTTGGAGGCACAGGTAGATTGGAACTTGCTGCCTTAAAAGATGTGTATTCTAGGTTAGCTGATGAGGCTGTCAGTGCTGAAGTCCTTAGTTGCTCCTTCCAGCAGTTAACAATTAAGTTAATTTTTCCTTAATTTTAGGTTTAGTACTACTTAAAAAAAAACAACCAAACAACAAAAAAACCCCAAAAAACCTAAAACCAAACCAATTCAATCACTCCCCAGAACACTTTCAATGAAAGACAGAACTGTCACTTTTAAAATAAATATGCTTTAGAATATTAAATTCTCATCCAAAGTCTTGTGTTTAGAATAAATCCCAGAAGATTAAAAAACAAAACTAAACTTATAATGTATGACACTTCACTATACAGAAAATGTATGTTTTCAGTACAGAAAATAAAAGCAAGTGTCTGTTGTATTTTGGTGCGCAATGGAAGCCTGACTCACCGTTTCTGGTAGTGCATCCAAAAAACTTAGGAGCAAACTTTTTAAACTCAACTTCCAGCTTTCATTCAAATAAATCCTAGCGCTGTTTTTAAACTCACCTTCAGTTTCTTCAGAGTCACCCACCTCTCAACCTGGCCATCGTGTCCCCAGGAGCTGAGGGTTGGCTTTCAGCCATGTCAGAGCGTGCTGTTGGCAGGAAACTGCCCGGGGTTTCTACCCCATGCTGTGTCCTTTGCTTCACCTGCCCTGAGCTGGGCAGTGCTTACAATGCTGCTCCATCCTCTCCCTCACTGTTACCTCTCGGAGGGTTTCCAGCCACACAATAAACAATACATTGTGGAACAGGCAGTAGTATTACTTGTATTTTATAGCAAATAAACAGGAGGACTTGATGCCAGACAGAAAATCAATGCAGTTTTTGTGCCTTGTAGTGCCAGCTCTGTGTTTTGCACATTGAACCTGTCAGGTCTGTGCCTGCCGTTATGTAGGGAACTCAAGTGACACCTTCCAGTATGCTTTATTTTTCATTTTTCAGTTACGTTTTACCTGCAAACTATTAGCTTTGCTGAATTACTACTCCTCAGCTAAGCAGTGGTAAACCGAACGTATTCTTAGTTGATTCAAGCTGGAAAACATGCAAGTAAGTAAAACCCAGTAACAAAAATTATATGAATGGATAACATGATCCACCTAAATGTGGATTAAAAAAAATCTTCCGTATTTAAAGTAGCTGAAAAACCTACTTAAGATTGAATAAAATCACTTAATAATGTGATAGCATACATACAGTTACATTGATGAATAAATGATGGCTAATATCAGGAACAAGTATCAAGTTATCAGCTCTTATGTGTATAAAAATGTGGTAAGACTGGAGACACTTACATTATCACAGCTGATCAGACAGGACACGTTTTGTAAGGGGCAGAAAGTATCATACTGCCCATAAAAACATCCAGTACTGGGATTCCAAATTACATACTGGCTTTGTTCCAAAGTTAATACATATGCTGTTGGCCCCTAGGAAGAAAAAAGATATGAGAGAGGTTTAAAAACTGGCTGCAAAGACAGTAGAGTTTGTATTGTTTGAAATACTAGATTTTTACTATTGAGATTAATAGTACTTTTTTGGGCAAACTGGTTGGAAGAATTTACAGGTTGATTACGATTTACCCAACTAACATCATAATAAGTGCTGTTTGTCTCTTTTAGCTGTCAGAGTAGTGTTAGACATATATAGCCTCAAGCCAGTCTTAAAATACAGATTCTGGAAGTCATCTTAGTTCATCTAAGAACTGAGGTGAAATTTTATATCCAGGAATGTTCAATGTGTGCCAGCTCAATATCAGTATGTCCTACTTGGCTACTGCCACAGCTCTCATTGGCAGCCGCTTGCTGAGCTGAAGGACTGCCACCCAGGCAGCACACCTTGTGTCTCATCTGTCTGCCTTCCCACATGTCGCACAGGAGGAATTGCCCAGCTATCTTATATTCTCTGTCAGGAATCTCTAAACTGTTCTTCTACTTTCTTGTTATCTCTCGCATTTTCCAGGTACCTTCAAATACCTGGAGTAATGCCCCTCCTTACAGCATGCATAAGCTGAATGCTTTATTAAGGACTACTTTCTCCATCATATTTGGAGTGGAAGGAATGTACCCGAGAACCTGCTCCTGCTGTGCAGTATGTGAGAATGTGCTAAAGAAACCCATCAAGAATTTTTACCCAAATTCTGTTCAGCAAAACTTTCACCTGTGCTTGGTAATTTGATGTGTTAACGGTGGATATTTGCTTCCTGGAAAAACATGCTAGGAAGAAACAATTCTGTCCATTAGTGGGAACCAAAGACTTCATAGAATTAATATTCAGATCAAATGAAAAAATTCTCTTACCTCAGGAATAGCATTTCCAATGATAAGCCAGGCTTTTTTCCCCATACCAAGAAAATAATTGCACAAGAGCACGGCGTGTTCTTCCTCATCTCCCGCCAGAAGATAAAGAAATTGCTAATTGAGATTAAATTTAAAAAATGATTGTGCAGTTATCAACTGTGCTTTCAACTTACAACTTCTAATAATATTTATTAACACTTCTGAAGCAAGGAAGTCCCCTCAGATCTTTGCAACTGATCTTTACTGTTTATGGGGCACTGTTTCAACACTCGGGACAATGAGTCAATGCTGTGAAAATCTATGCTGCAGATCTGAGATTTTACCACAAGAACCAAGTTTTTGTCTTCTGAGTTATTCAAGTTTTGAGATGGTAAAAACACCATCTATAATTAAATTAATGTCTGCTGTTATTTTACAGATGACAGGATTTATCTGAATATGATAGAGAAGGCTAAATATTGCATTATTGCTGACATTAAATACAGTATTTTTTCTGTAGTTTCTTGGAACTATAGTGATTAATTTTAAGTCTAGTTTTAAAGTCTCCATCAGTGAGCACTCTTTCACTTGTGCACGGCTAGCCATTTCAGATTGTTTTATAGCTGATAAAAACCATGAAAAGTTTAATGCCTTAAGCATTCTTAGGGCCTATCAATTGCAACCTATCGAAGATAAAAAATTTTGGCTCTTATCAGGATAAGCAACTTTTCTCAAGCTTTGGTCCTCATTCTTTGAAACAAATGGCTTATAAAGAAAAACAGTCCTCACAATAATAGAATCACAGAATAATTTATGTCTGAAAGGACCTCGAGCCCATCTAGTACAATCTTCCCCTGAAAGCAGGGGCTGCTAAGACATTGCATCACATTCAAGAGGATAAAGAACTTCTGTTTAAGGCGTTACTTACGTCTGATGTACTCCACAAATCACAAATTCCAGCAAATGACACGCTATCTGGCAAGAAAGGAATCAAAGCAACATACCGAGCCACCAATTCCTGCAAGAAAACAAAATGGAGCAAGTGACACCCTCAACTCACAGCACAGATATCCCACAACAGTATTATTGTACCAGCTGTGATGCATTGTGCTGTCTCCACAGACAGGAATGACAGACCACATTACAGCAGCAGCTCGCTCATTTCAGAGCTTCTATCAAAGACTGATAGTATTTAATTGCACTGAGGGTTGGTATCGTTATGTCTTTTAAAAGACAATATTCATACCTTTTTTTTTCCCAGAGAAGACAAATATCCCTTTCCAGCCTCATTATGGATAAACTTACTGTGTAGCACACATAGTCATTACTACTTTATTTTGTATCTCTAGTTTTGCTGTAAATCCATGCTTTTTATAAACATATAAAAATGGTATTTGCTTATATACATGTCACATGCGAACACACACATTCTGAAATCTATATCCCAGAAACTTCAGTGTATTTTCTCAGTACTTACTGCTGCTGTTTGAGAACCATTTGGGACAGCATCAAGAAGCTCCTGGGGTGGATTCAGAGGTCTGAGGTATCTGGTAATAAAAACTGTTTTCCCAGTGAGGTCAATTACAGTTGTTAGGCACTGGCGGCTTGGAAACTTTGATGTACATTCAGCTTCATACTTTTCTGCTGACTGGAGCAATTTCTCATCTTCTTGGGTATCAAACTTCAAAAGACAGTAGAATTTATTAAAAAATAGTTTTATTTATAATTTGGGTTTAAGTGTTTACTATGTTTGGCCTTATTTCACCATTTACAGGAGCATAAAAGGAGTGCAAAATTCTCTCCTAACAGCATTTTGAACTTTTCTTGTAGTATATACTTTGGCTCACAGACATATAAGAAAGGTAGTGGAAAATCAGGCAAATTGCATTTACTTACAAATGCACGTAATGACTTGTACCTATAGCTTTATTAAAGCACTGAAAATGTAGTGAAAGTTATGGCCAAGTAAAACTGCAGGGATGGTTAGGTACTAATCCTACATGCTTGTATTGGATTTGCACAGCAGGGTTTTGGTAGCAGGGGGGGCTGGAAGAGTGGCTTCTGTGAGAAGCTGCTAGAAGCTTCCCCTATGTCTGATAAAGCCAATGCCAGCCAGCTCCAAGATGGACCTGCTGCTGGCCATAGGCCGAGAAAATCAGCAATGGTGGTAGTGCCTCTGTGATAACGTAGTTAAGAAAAAAAGGGGGGGAAAACGCACAACTGCAGTCAGGAGAGAGGACTGAGAATATGAGACAAACAACTCTGCAGACACCAAGGTCAGCGAAGAAGGAAGGGAAGGAGATGCTCCAGGCACCAGAGCAGTTAAGTAAAGTTAACCCCAGGAAGAAGGGAGGGGTGTTTTAAGATTTAGTTTGTATTTTTCATTATCCTACTCTGTTCTGATTTGTAACAAGTAATACTCTGATTTGATTTGTAATAAATAAACTAATTTCCCCAAGTCCAGTGTGTTTTGCATGTGAGGGTAACTGGTGAGTGATCTCTATCTGTCCTCATCTTGACTCATGAGCCTTTCATTTTCTTTTCTCTCCCCTGTCCAGCTTAGGAGGGCATGGACAGAGCAGCTTTGGTGGGCACCTGGCATCCAGACAGGGTCAACCCACCACAATGCTATTCAAATCACACTCCATTAAAACCACCATTGAGGTTACGCACAAAATCCTAGTGATTTTAAGATAAATAATACTGCCACAACCCTGCACAATGCCAAAATATTTGCAGAGAAGGTCTAAGTAATTTTTAGATAAAACCATATAATTCAGACTTGTCTAAAATTTTAAAGCTTTTAGATGAGATTTTCCAGAAGCAAATCTAGGACTCAAAAGCACATCTTTATATAGAAATGACAATTATTTGCTAATGTTGATGAGAACTAAAGCTCATCCTTCATAATGTTTTTGTTCCAAATGAACCACTTTGTCATTTGTTACCCTTCTCAATCTAACCAGAGGTGCAACAGCTGGACCGGGCCCTGCAGCTGGACCTCCAGGCAGCAGAGAAGGCTCACAGCAGTGACGTTTCTCAAGCATAATTAACAGCCAAAATATACAGCCTCCAGCATTTTGTCAATTGAGATGTAGTAATCCACTGCAAATATTACTGACAAATAAGCAACTCCTATGTCGGAGTCAAATAACACAAAGTACAAAAAGATTGCTGAATGGCACAAAACCAAGCTAAATCTTAAATGGGGAACAACAGGAATTTCTCAACTGATTTTATTTATTCATATTGTACCTTCTTAAGCATTTCATTCATCTACATAGAGATTCAGGAAGGACAGCAAGAAAAAGGAAAAAATAGGTAAAGAAACAAAAACAGTGTAATAAAATCAAACTAAAATTAAGCTTAGCATTCTAAAACAGTACACAGGTATTTCAAATAACTGCAGAAGGAGCGGGCAGGAAAAGGAACAAAGGACAGCAAAAGTATTTGTTAGTTGTTGTCATTTTATGCCAAACACTTTCTATAATAATAATATGTGTCACAGTTGGTGAGTTGCAGCACAGAATAATGACTTTTTCGGTCACAGTTAGAAAACGCACACATGTCCCTTTAGTAGTGTGTTTATGGACAGATTTCATTAGATACATACCACCTAAAATAGAACAGTCTCTTAATGATTTTAGTCCTGTTTTATTGTTTTCTATTTTTATTGCTTTGAAAAAATGGATTATTTAAAAATCCATTACAATGTTTGCTAAAGAAAGAATTTGGTTTGGTTTAGGATCCAAGGTAAACAGATCATCTGCTGCTAAGTAAAATTTTTATAACATTTAGAACATTTATTTATAACATTTAGAAAAATCTCTAATGCAGAGTGAACAAAAATCTGGCAGAAGTCCTACTGATGTATTAGTCACAACTGTTTTTTCACTGGTCTTCAAATTTTAGAAGACAGATCATCTGTACCAATAGTTTTCTTACTTCAGCAACACTTTCCTTATTCCTGATTTTACTTTAAACAAGTGCTTTTTGGTACAGGTTAGCTTTGATAGAATCATGCAACAACCCAGGTTGGAAGGGACCTCAAAAGACCACCTGGTCCAAACTTCTGTGGGAAAGGGAGCCCAGATGAGATTATCCAGCACCCTGTGCAATCGCACCTCAAAAACCTCCAGTGATGGGGACTCTACCATGTCCCTGGGGAGCTTGTTTGACTCTATGATTGTTCTCACTGTAAAAGAAAATTATTGCTTATGTTGAGATAAAAACCCTCCCAGTGCAACTTGTACCCACTGCCTCTTGTCTTCGCTGTGTGGCTCCTTGAGAGAAGCTTTGACACGATTCACAACATACAGTCCATAATATTTTACAATAATCTCACCCCTTATTTTAATTTCTATGATTTTTCTTTTGGAACAGTACTAGAGACAGGTCCTTCTGTAAACAGAGATCTGTTTCCTTACAAATTCAGTACATTTTTTTCCCAGCAATTAATTACTGGAGATGAAGATGAAGACTATGAAACTCTTGAATAAGGTCTCATCTATTAAAGGTGCTTCAAGGCTGTTAAGTTTATATTTATGGGTTTGAGGCCTACTAATAATCTTCTCATTCAAACTAATTGACCTTAAAAGGCATCCATGAATGCACTTTATTAATTTTCTTTATTTTCAATGGTACTAACTTACAACAATTCCCACAGTATTGCATAAGTGAGAAACACAGGACTGGACAGTTGCCAAGACTATAATTTAACAGAAAAAGGGGTTTTTAGAATACGTCATACAAATCTATATTTATTCTGAAAAAGAAATTACATAATGACAGGCCTTTCTCTCCAGTTCCTGTTTGTCCCTAGAAAATGACCAGTGATGCACTGAATTGGGAAAGAATGAAGTGCTGCTGTTTGTGCATGAAAAGCACATATCCCTGCTGAATGGATCTCAAAATCATTGGATGATGTTACAAAAAACAGCAAGCGGTGTATGCATTTTAACTACATATTGTTGTTGTTAGTGTAAGGCAATTCTGATTTAGTAAAATACCTGGAAAAAATAACAGCTGCTGTTTAGAAATAATTATCTTCAAGATCTGGAGGCATCCATAAAGCCATAAATAATAAATGCTGTATTTGAATAATATAAACACAGAAGCAAGAAAAACCTATGTTTGCACCTGCCACCTCCTTTTCATCCACTGTTCACAAATACTCACATGAATACTTTATTGTTTACAGAATAATAAATGCAAATTTGCTTTCTATCAACACTGGAACTAGATACCCAGTGAAAGGTGTTTCTCATGCATTATATGTCCATCTAACTTAATGGTGCACCCAATTAAATTGAATTGAGCTAGAACATTTGAAGTAGAACACTCAGAATTTGTATTAATAACCTTCTGTACTCGTATTCATGTTCTTCAGTACACTAACCATACCTATTTGTATGCATCTCAAGAACTACAAAAGTGGAAACAAAAAGCAAGAATATGATGCATTACTGATCAGTCACCTTTTCTCTGACTGACTCTCCAGGAATGAGCTGTGGTTCAATGGTAATAAACAGTGTTAGATACGAGCCCTCACTCAGATTTCGCACAGAATCATAACCTCTCTCCATTCCCAGGTTCTTTTCTTTGCTGTAGCCAAGGAGGACTGGAGGAATATTCACCTTAAACGTACCATCAATCTACAACATACAGAGAAATACTCTCATTAGAAGCAAAAAAGCAAAACTTCCTTCTCATACATTTGCTACTACAGCAAGACTGCAGTATGATAGGACTATTTCCATGAAAAATTAGTTTCCTTAACCTAAGTCCACAGTGGGTAGATGGACAAAAAAATGCCCTTCCCCTATGAAGAACCGCATGTTTTACTAATACTCCCATGATGAACTGTTGGTATCTCTTGACAAAAGCTTCTCTTGAAAAGTTCTAAAATGGAGGAAAGAAGGGATTCAGAGAGGCGTAGATAAAAATCTGATGATTCATGAAAAGTGTGAAAAAAAGAAGTTAGGTCAAGTTTCCTATCACCTATCTAGGTGGTACTCCCATTCTCAGTTCACCTATCTAGGCTGTGCAATATCAGAGATCTCAAAAACCATCTAAAGAATTTGCACTTTTAACCTCATTCTCAAAGGAAGCCAGGCTATGTTGTCAGTGTGAAGTACGTTTGTCTATCTCTTCTCCCTTCAAAATGTTGAACTTACTGACAAATAATCACCAAATTTGACAACAACCAGTGGTTTCAAAGACATTTTCAAACAATTCCATAAAAACAGAAGTACAGAGAACATCACTGAATCTGACATTCCATTACCAGCCCCTTTCCATTCTCCAGTTTTGTATTTTAAGAGATTTACTCCATGTTCCTGATGCTTACCCTTGCTTGAAAATATATGGTAGTAAATGGTATCTTCACACATCCCAGCCAGCGTCTCTCAACATGAGTGCGGATTCCACTTCCTCTTTCAGGATCATGCTATTAAAAAGTTGCCCAACAAAACACTTTGTAAGACAGCTTCATTTCCTTTACTTCAATCAACAAATTAATCAAGGCATTAATTTAAAAAATCGTATTGTTTTAATAATTCACTGTAAATATCAGTTCTGTTACTAATATGACAGTGATTATTCTGCATGCCTTTCAAGAATGCCAGATGCTGAACAAATAGAAGGCACAATGCACTTCAGGATTTATGGAGAACTCCAAAATCTGACACAGATTCCACAAGAGTCTTCTCAGACAAAGAAAATTTAGCTCTGGTCTAATGAAATATTTTACTAGTCTTTAAAAAGCTTTTTGAATGTAAAAGTTGTATGAAAATCTAATAAACCCTGTGGAATGGAAGCATTTCTTTCATATGTATCACCTATCAGGGATTTCCAAATCTAGTATGATCAGCCTACGAGTTACTTAAAAAAACCACAAACCTCTAGAGCGGCATCTGGGTTTCAAGACTGTATATTTCTTCCTTCTGCTTCACCAAATACCATTTCAGTTTTGAGGACAGAATTCTCTCCTCAGTGAAACGTATGCATTATTTATTTCTGGGTTATATTTTCATAGAACCTTGAGTGCTGCTATTTTTGTGCATGCTGAATTGACTGGGAAAGCATTCACTGGTTTCAAGAAGGGAAGTAGTTATACCAAGACTGAGAGCTTACAAAAATCTCTTGTTACTACTACTTGCAATTTTTATCTCATTCCAAAAAATGAATATATACAACCAAAAGATGTGGAGTTTTTTTAATCAAACAGCTTGCAAAACAGGATGAGACAGAGCATAAAAAATAGTTAATAAAAATACAGGAACTGGAATAATTAATCTGGAATTTAGTAAAAAATTCTGATTAAGTTTAAGAACATAATTCAGATTACAATTCACATATTGCCTCTCAACTTTAGCACCTCAAACTTCATTAAATAAACGGATTATATACACACGTTCAACTCTAGCAGCAGATTATATAGCACAAGTTTAACTTGGACAGAGAAAGATTAACACTATAAAGATTACTCCGTCTAAGAATCTTACAAAATTGACAAGATATAAAACCATAAGGAATGACAAAATAGAGAAAAAAAGAGGCACAGAAGAGTGAAAGCTATTACACTGAAGTCTTCTATTCTGTCAACTTCAAAAAGCTCATAATATTCTGTAACGTACACAGTCCTTCAATTATGAACTCACCTCTACAGCATCGTGAAGTACTTCATCAAAAACATTAATGAAGACTTCATCCTTCACTGACTGCAAACTGTGGGTGCTGTAGTCACTATTAGGAGCTCTGAAAAGTTTAAATAAAAAAGTTCTCTGAAGCAGAACAGGAAAATTTGAATAAATGTGCATGCTCAAATTAAATTATTGTTACTCAGAAATGAGTGACCAGCAGGTCTAGGGAGGTGATTCTACCCCTCTACTCCACTCTTGTGAGCCCCCACCTGGAGTACTGTGTCTAGCTCTGGGGCCCCCAGCATAAGAAGGACACAGAACTGTTGGAGTGGGTCCAGAGGAGGGCCACAAAGATGATCACGGACTGGAGCATCTCCCCTACAAAGCCAGACTGAGAGAGTTGGGGCTGTTCAGCCTGGAGAAGAGAAGGCTCTGGGGAGAACTTGTAGCAGCCTTCCAGTACCTGAAGGGTGCCTACAAGAAACGTAGGGAGGGACTCTATCAGGAAGTGTAGTGATAGGATGAGGGTTAAGGGTTTTAAACTGGAAAAGGGTAGATTTAGATGAGATATTAGGAAGAAATTCCTTACTGTGAAGATGGTGAGACACTGGCACAGGTTGCCCAGGGAAGTTGTGGATGTCCCCTCCCCTGGAGGTGTTCAAGGCCAGGTTGGACAGGGCTTTGAGCAACCTGGTCTGGTGGCAAGTGTCCCTGCTCATGGCAGGGGGGGTGGAACAAGATGATCTTGAAGGGCCCTTCCACCCCAAACCATTCTATGATTTGATGGAATAATTTGGATTAATTTTGCAATACCTAAATGGAAGCTCAAGTTCCTCATTCCAGTTGGGGTTTGGACCCTCTGCTGTTGTTGTACGGCAGACTGTTCGCTGAAAAGAAACTTCTATAAAAGGACGGACTAAAACCTGTAAATAGAGAACAAAACAAAGGAAACAGACCTCTAAAAAACATGAGAATATATTAAATTACACATACTTATCAATGTATACTTTGTGGACACCAGACTGGTCCAGCCCAGATAAAACTTTATACATCTTAAACACTGCACAGAATCACAGAATCTTAGGAGTTGGAAAGGACCTCGAAAGATCATCCAGTCCAACCCCCCTGCCAGAGCAGGATTACCTAGACCAGGTCACACAGGAACCCAGGCAATTTTGAATGTCTCCAGAGAAGGAGACTCCACAACCCCTCTGGGCAGCCTGGTCCAGTGCTCTTTCACCCTCACAGTAAAAAAGTTTTTCCTCACGTTCAGGTTGAACCTCCTATGCTCCAGCTTGCTCCCACTGCCCCTTGTCCTGTCATTGGCTGTCACTGAGTACAGCGTGGCTCCTTCCTCCTGACACTTGTCCTTTACAAATTTATAAGCATTATGAGGTTGTACTTCCAAAGCTTCTAAGCATTTAGGAAGCTTTAAAAAAATTATATATTAGTGTTTCTAAAAGACTAAGTGTATTCAGAATACTTGATATATTTATATACGCTGTCAAAACCACATTTTCTGCTGAGAGTGGAAAAGCTACTACTGGCTATCTCACCAAAGAAGGTAACTGAAACAGAACATGTGATCCAGACACCAGTGGAAAGAAGTGCACTCATATCCTCTTATCTGTAATCCAAGAAGCCTACTGCTACAATCCTGGTTGTCTCCGAAACGTGCTCCTGTTACAGATAAGCAACTTCTACTAGCCACAACAAACTACTCTAATGTGATTAAAAATGCCTTAATGAAGCATTTAATTAGCACTCAAATGCGTATGGCAGAACCCTTTTCTACATTTCAAAAAGCTCTCATTTAGAAGGAAAATTGTAATAAAAACAGGAAAAAAACATGATAAGGCTTCCGTCTTCATTCAGAAGGATGCTGAATTTAGTCCTCAATAGCAAGTAAATGTAGTTTCTGTATCAGGCATAAGAATGGCTGTGTTGGTTTAGACTAAGAGTGCACCAGGCCCAAAATTCAGGCTGTGAAAATGGTCATCAGCAGACACATACAGAAGAGTAAGAACAGAGCAGGTATATATGGTGCTTTCTCCTATTACTCTTCCCGTATTCAACTGTTTTCAGATGAAGGACTTTCCTAAGCCTGACAATTCTCCTATTTAGGTAACTCGCAATGGATCACTCTTCCAAATACTTGTCCAGTGCCCACTTCAATGCAAGCAAACCTCTTCAGTTCACAATACATGTTAGCAACTTCTCTGGGCACCTACTAACTGCTGCATCAAGAATCATAAACTGTTTGTTTTGAACCTAAGTCCTACTAGCTTCATTTGATGATTCCTCAACCTTGTACTGACCCAGAAAACAGTCAATTCCTATCCACAGTCCCCACATCATTCATGATTTTATGTCTTTACCATATTCCTCCTCCTCTACTCACAGTTACTGCTGTTCTGGCTGACAAGCCCTACTATTTTTCACTGTAGAGTACCCATTCCATACTTCTGACGGCCCTATCGCCCTTCTCTGAAAGTTTTGCAGCTTTACTATCTTTTCAGAGATCAAGAAGTGGGCAAGCCAACCTCACTAATAAGATATCTTTCTGATGGTAAACTTCACTGTGGAAAAGAGGAATGCTCACAACTTCACCTAAGAAAAGGTAAGATATCTAATATACCTGGTTGAATGCCCAATCTGGGCTATCAGCTGGGCTCTGAGCTGATGAAGAGACTGCAAACATCTCATTGAAGGACCTTGAAGATTTGTATGGCTGTTGAAGTTTGCTGTGAGAGGAAAGAAATTACAACAACAAGAAGAAGGAGGACTGACAGAGAACACATTACAAAATACTAATCCCTCACATTCTGTATTATTCTGGAAATAAAACTTTAACCCTGGAGAGAGAGTTATTTGATCAAGTAATGACAGAAAGGGGTAGCACGTGTACAGTTCTTGTAAGCCTGTATCTGGAGGCTCTCATTTCTAAAGAGTTTATTGACCACAAATTATTTTTTTCCTGCCCCATGCAACCTCCCTGAGCTACAGGTTTTTCAGTTTAAGGAGATGAATCTCCACAAGATTTGTAACAGTGTAGACTTCATGGTATCCAGGCAAAACCTCTATGACGAAATTAAACCCATATGAATGTTACACAATCAGCAACCCATAAGTGAAATTAATGTTAATATGTTTATTTTTACTGTGTTTCCATATAACTTTTTTTGTAATAACACCACAGTAGAAGTTATAAAAGAATGGAGAAAGCAGCTCAAAATAAGGCATCATAAAATGCAAGACTGGGAGGGTTTTTAGTTAGTTTTGTAATACTGATAATGCACTGAAAAAATCCCCTTTTCCTTCCTGTCAACATGTTTCTAATATGAATTGTTTTTCTCAGTATGAACTTATTTAAAGAAATCCAACCGAACCTTTTTTATAATAAAGGCATAAAACAGCATAATATTGTAAATTCTGTATACACAGTAATTGGTCAGCTTGAAAACACCTCAGAGTTACATGCAAGACGTATTTATTTTGGGAGAGAGAGAGAAAACGCTGCACTAATGCATAGCTTCTGGAACTGAACCATAGTGCTCAGAACTCGAGTATCTTTACATGACACAGCATCACGCAGTGCAGGCATTGCCTTAATGTGCTGGAAGGTAATGGCCACCTCTAAAATTCGTCAGAGCCAAATTAGGCTCCGTCCATTAACTTCAACAAACAGTTCATTAAGGAGAAGGCCATCATGCTACCCTCAGGAGGCAAACACAGTGTCCCACAATGAAGAACTGTGGTTTTTTTACTACTTATTTTTGGTATTTAAGATGTTACGAATTAAAATAGCTCTGTATATAACTTGCAGACTTAAGGTATAATTTATCTGATATTATCATAGTTACAATGTCATCAAAGCTGTAAGTTACCTACTATGTATGTAGACTATGCATACAGTTTTTGGGAAAATATTTATTGAATTTAGCAGTTACTGATAAATGATCATATTATTCTACAAACTTACAAAACAGCAGTTCTTTATCATTATTAATAAAAAGATATGTGTATATATGTTTTAATCTTGAGAACCAAAACAACACACATGGCTGAATTTCAACATCAGTTGTTTCAGCTGTCCTCAAAAAATGAATCTGTATGGGAAACAGGCATTTAAACATACCTCATCACTGGTTTTCTCACTGGAATATCATAAGCTCTAATGACGTTCACTAACAGTTTTATGTCTCCATCTGATAAATTCTGTGCTGTGACCTTCTTCCTTTCTTTTCTTCTTGGCTTTAATGGTCGTTTTGGCTCTGCCAGTTTAAAGAGGCTGAGTCCCAAAATACTAATAATCACAAAACAGATATTTAGTAATTTTTGCATAGAATCCAGCATTCTAGTGCTTCCATGACACACATGGAAATTACACACTAATAGTAAAAGGAAATGTACGCTCCTGTTAGTGCCATACAAAACTCTATGAAATGTCAAAATATTTTAATTTAGTACGACATAATCCAGTTCTGTCTTCTATTTCAGAAATTGTAACTTAAAAGTGCAAAGAAGTTTTTTTTCCAAAACTAAGATACACATATGACGATCACAGTTTCAAGAGAGGTCTAAGAGAGGTTTATAGCACTACAGTGCTATAAACAAGGTGCCTAGCAGATGACGACAGCCACTGTATGGAATAGGCAAAATATCTAACTACACAGCTATGTACCACAAACATTAGGCTACAGAAAGGAAGTGCAATGAATATGGCACAACATACCCTGGACCCTCAGAACTTATAACCCAAGGCAAAGCAGAACCAAAGGAGGGAAAAAAAAAAGAATAAAAAGCAGATGTACGTTTTTACACATCATTGATATTAACTGCAGACATTCCAAAATCTACTTTAATAACTGGTAGCCAATGGCATTATTTCCTTACATATAATAAAAAGCACAGTAATTTAAGTATTGTTAAAATAACACAAAACCATGAGTTACTGAAATATCTCACAACGTAGACACTTCAAACAAACCATGGTGTATATTATATTCACTAACCACATATATTAGCAAATAGTATTCAATATGAATTAGTATTAATGTTAAGAAAATATCAATTAAGCATTTGATTTTAAACAACTCCAAAAGCTGATTACAGTCTTTTATTGGATTTTTCCATTCTGTGATGTTGAGACGTGAACTGAAAAACGGGATGAACTCTTCTGTAAGAGAGCAAGTCTCTGTCTCTCCAGCAGATGGGACCGTTTAGATATATTCTGTTGATTGAGAAAGCTCTGCCTGTACTTTAAGGGTGTTTGTATGTTTATAGGGAATACACGCAACTTCAATTCAAAAGAAAAATTAACTATCTGTTTATTTACACAGATTTTAAGTGAGCAATACTAATTAATAGTCATTTATGCTATGATAACTGATAAATGTCAAAATCAACATTGTACGGGATTTGGAACAAAAAAATCAAAGTGCTTAAGTAATAAATCAAATAATAATCTTAAAAGGAAAAAGAAATTCTTTCCATACCCAGTAACATTTCTGAAAGTAAACAGCATATGACAACATCCAGCAACAGCACACAGAAATACATGAGAAGTAAAATAAAGAAAACTACTGTTAAAAAAAAATCTATTGCACATTATTTGCAGGGCATATGCACTGACTCTAAGTGAGCATCACCTACAGAACCAGGAGTGGTGTTACTACCTCTGATGCTTGTCTGATATTTGGAAATCATTCAATCTGGCACCAGCTAGGGCTGTGCTCAGCTCATCGGACTGCAGCCTGATGCATTATAAATCTTATTTACATGCTGTCACATGACTTCTGCCAAAACCAGACCTTTTCTTTAAGAAGTTTTTACGCACTTTCTGTATCAATACACTGCCTGTACTGGGAGAGGCCTACATAGTGATTGGAAGTTCATACGTATACTAAACACAAAATTGCATCAGTTAGTCACATCAATACACTTTGCAAGAAGAAGATCAGAGATGCTTTTACATTAATTATGTCGATTTAGAACAAATAAAGATAGCTCCCTTACCCCAGGCTGGGAATCTCTTCTTCATTGACAAGGTCAGAGAGAAGGAAATGGTGTTTTGCTATGAGGAAACGGTTTATTACTGACTCTCGAACCTGCGAATGGGGAGGGAGAAGAGACAAAAGTACATTTTTAATCCAAACCCACTGCAAGTATTTGCATTCTGTGTATTAAAGACAAACAAAATGTCAAAATATATATTCTTTACTTTTTCCCACTTTTAAAAGAATCATCGTTCAAGGAAAATTTTCTTTCCACCAGACATTTCTTCAGAACATAATATCAGCACATTTTACACATACAATGATCCACTAAAAACACACTGGCTAGCCAGATATAAGAACATATGAAAACACACAATGAGAAAACAAAGTCTTATCTGCTCACAGCTCATAATCAGAAACAATCACAACAATAAATGACGCTAATAGACATCTCTTTTCCATGTCTAAATGAAGTTGCAGAAAAGGCTGTAAATAAATCTATATGGTACTAGTTATGGGGAATAAAAGCAACACGTTGGACTGCAGAACAACTGATGAAGCCTGTATTACAAATACCATGATTTCAAATAAATGTCTAAAATCCTTAGTTCCTTTTATTTCTACGCTGAGGTTACAGACTGAAGCATGGAGATGAAAATCTTCCCTCTTCTCCCAAAGACAACGTGGAAGCAGACAGACAATTTATTGCCTTTGGCCTTTTTTCCTACCACTAACACAAGTAATGCCTTATATAAATACACTGTGCTAGTCCAAGATCAGTTGAAGAACGGCAATAACAAACAATTTTCTGCAATATGCAAATTTTCTTTGTTACATTGAAAAGTTTTTATTTAAATTATTACATCTTTGTGTTAAAGTGATAAGTATACAAAGATCAGAACTGAATTTCAGTTCTGATGTGAGAAATCTAATTTGCAAACACATTGGACAATTTACGTAAGTGTAAAACATCCAAATATTATTTTTAAAAAGGCTACTTGTATTTAACCTAAAAGAGTGATAAAGGTACCATAATGTATCTTACTCTTACCATAATGTATGTCACTCTGTACTATTATACTATTATTCAGTGTGCTGCATAAACCATATGTTTGGGTACACACTTAAATACCATGCAAAATATACAGGATGACAGAGACATGACAGCTTTGTTAAAAATAATTTTTTATATTATCATAATGAATCTTGGCTTTGGCACTTGCCTGGAAGATTTAAACACTCTTCATTGTCTATGACTCCCTTACAAACCGTTCTTTCCAGCAGACAATTTGTTACTGTAATACCTCAACGAAGGTAATGTGATGGAAGACACACTCTCTGCATTAAATGATTTTTAACAGCAGTTAGGGCATTTCATTGAGATAATTAAGTTCTTAGCATCACAGCTTACAAGAAGGAAAATAGGGAGGAGAGGGAAATCAGTGAATACCTGGGACACAACAGTACAAATCTGTGGGACACTGAAGCAAAAACAAATTTACGGAACTGCTAGAAAAATCCAGAATGGCAGGTCATTTTATACATTGCATCTTTTTCAGCAACATTAAATGAGTCATTCACAAACCTCTACTTGTTCAATTAGACCAGCTTCAGGCCTCGCTCGGAATTCTAAAGTTGTCTGTAGGTCATGTTTAGAGATGAATCCATTTTTAGTATTCATGGAAATAAAATATCCAAATACAGAAGCAACATATGGCCTAGAGAAATATGGTTGATCCATATTTTTTGCAGCTTACCTTCTGTAGATAGTTGGCAACAACTGCTCTGTGTGCATCTAGATAATTTTTGCTGTCAATCACATCCCTCTCTTGCAGTCTCTTCTCATAGTCCTAAAGATATTTACTAGAGTTTGTGATTCAGTATATATTCAGTGCTTTATTACATACAAGAAAAATGGTAAATATTTCATTAATATTAATGTATGGATCACAGTAAACCAAAACAGATGTCAGAGGCTTATAAAACTATTTTTAATGCTAATTTATACAGCCATAGCATTCCTAAACTTCCATGAATAGAGACAAGAATTCGATTAAGTTGCAAGATTCATATGGTTTAAATTACTATGAATAACTTGAAGATTTCCCTCTCTTCTTTTAAAGCTGAACTCTGACCTGCTGCTGGTAAACTGAAAATCCATTTGAACTGGAAATGGCTTCTTTTATTGCAGCTGCAATGGGAAGAATCCTTTATAAACAGGGGTTATGCAGTACTCTTGGAAGATGACCTGAAATCTGAACTCTCTTTTAATACACATAACTAGTTTTCATAGTGTCTAACACTGGAAGAAACTCCACTTGTTGAAGACTTTATTGAGAAACAATTATTGAGCTACTTTTAAGTTAAATTAAAGAAATAAAGAGATTTAATAGCGTAATAAAAATCTTTTGTCGTACATTGTAAGAAAGTGAAAGCTTTTTAAAGCTGCTAGAGTGTGAAGATTTTGCTTTGCCTGAGGTTTGATAAAAGAGTCTGTGGCCTAACCGAGGGGCTGAGATGAATACTGGTTACCAGCACAAGAAAAGATTCAAGAGAAGCACTTCGTTCTTGGGAAAAAGTATGTTAATGGACTCAGGGTTGTGGTTACTCTTCTGGTGGACTACAATGAAGCTGTACTGACAGATGCAACTTTTACTCACAAGTTTAGGAAAGTGTCTCATAAATTAAGAAAAAGCTAGGGCTGACACTCAGCTTCCAAGCAAAACACAGAGCCTACAAGTTCAGGAGTCTCCCAGGAACTGCAGCTTAATGGCAATCTGCAAATCAGGTTGGCTTTAGAACCCCAGTTATCATGTAAAAGCTACTCAAGAAAATTAACCTTCGGGTCATTTTGCTACTGCTGTTACTAAGAAGAACATATTTTTTCCTAAGATAAGGGGTCCAGGAAGCACCTTTTGGAAATACAGTGCTTCATTATTTCCACAATAAATCTTTATCTAACTTTTCCTGTGTATAATTATTGTTGAACGATGCCAGATTAGCAACCAAATAAAGTAAGAACAGCTCTTCTGAGCCAGAAATCCTAATTTTTAGGCAGATCTGGCAATGACTAAGCTAAAAGTCCAATAATGGGAGCTGAATGTCCAACTGGTACATGCGTATGCGTTGCTCCATTCTTAGGTCTTTTTATTGCAGTATGATTTAAGTACCACAAATCATTGATTGGTACTTGTTAACTGACAGTAACCTATTAGCATTAAATAAACTTTCAAAAGAAATAGGAAAAGATCATAAACTTCTGATAAAACAAATACTCAGACTGATTTGCCCTGACTCTGGTGTTGAACTCCAAATTGAAACCCTTCTCCTCTGACCCAAGACACTTGTGTTGCTTTCTTTCTGTAAGTGTATCAAGACATTCTGCTTCCCCATAAGCACAGCATGTCTTGAATTATCAAAATCCCATAGCCCACGCTGCTGGGCTCACTGGTAGAAATGAACCCAACAGCTCTGAGGAACACAAGGAACCAAAAATATAAAGCGAAAGAAGATATCATAGCAGTACTGCATATTAGTGCTGTACACTGTAAAAAAGATCAGAGAAGACAAATACAACAGAATCAATTGGGGAAACACTACAGTAGGGGAAAATAAAAATTTGTGGCCTAATTGTATTGGGTCTTTCTGGGATGGACTTAATTTTCTTCAATGATACTTGATTAGGAAGAGTGGTTAATACAGTGAATCACTGAACTACAGTTCAGAGGGCTCTTCATTGAAGACTGTGACAACTAACGTCTCAATGAAGAAAAGGCAAAATTCCGTATTGAGCATGGAGTAACTCCATGTGCTGGCACAGACTGGAAAGCAACCAGCAGAGTAACAGCCATATTGAAATATTGAAAAAAATCTGAAGGTTATGGTTTGACAACCTCCACCACCGTTTTTCTTTTGGCGAAAGGCAAACCATGGGCTATATTAGGAGTAGCATGGCCTACAGACAAAGGGAAATTACTAACCCCTCCAACTTGGCACTTGTGAGGGCATAACTGAAATATTGTGACCAGTTTGGGGCTGCCAGTTCAAAAAGCACATGGAGAAACTGGATGGGGTCCACTAAAGGACTACTACAATAGAGGACTAGAGCACATGACCTAAAAGAAGAGGTCAGAATCTTCAAATAATGTAGGTTAGAAGAGACTTCTGGTGGTCATTTGATCCAAAACCTCACTCAAAGCAGGAACAACTCTGATCAGGATGTTCAGAGCCTTTGCCAGTTGAATTTTCAGTATCTCTAGTGATGGCAATTCAACAAACTTGCTGGACAACATGTTCTAGAATTTGAACATGTTCTTCATGAAAAACGTTTTCATTATATCTAACTGGAATTTCTCTTGGAGTAACTTGCATCTGTCATCATCCTCCCTCTAAGATGAGCCTTGCTCTGTTTTCTCTGCACCATCTTGCTAGATACCTGAAGGAAGCAATAAGATAACCCCTTAGCCGTGCTTGTTTAGGCCAAAAAAAACTTAGATCTTTTGGTCTCCACTTGTACATTATGTGCTGCAGCTCTGTAGATATTCTGGTAGCTTTGTCCTGGACTTGCTCCACTATTTCAGTGTCTCTCTTGCACTGGAAAAGGTGTTCAACCGAATTAGTTTGCTAAGAAAGAGATTAATGAACAATCCAGTATCTGCCCACGATTATTTGAGGGGCAGTTACAAAGAAAAGAGTGCCAAATTCATCTCTGTTCCAGACAATACAAGGGAAAACCGCCATTAAATACAACTTGGAAGGCTCAGGTTGAACATGATTTTGTTGTTTTGTTTTTTTTTTTAAATAATCACTGGAAGTGCAGCACTGGAACAGGTTATCCAGAAAGGCTATGGAATCTCCTATTTAGAGGGTTTCAAGACTTGGCTAGACAAATACATAGCTGACCTCATCTAGTGCTGGCAACAGTCCCACCACTGCAGTGGAAAGCAGGACTAGATGACCTCCAGGCAATATTTTCTGAACAATATTTCCACGATTCTATGAATTTTCAGACTTCTTTGCCAAACAGCTAGTAAACCAACTAGGGACAATACCGCTTTAAACTTAGTTTTGAAGATCATGGCACATAAAATGAACTTGGAATGGCTAATCATGGGTTTATCCAATTTACCCTTACTGAAAAAAACCCAACCAACCAAACAAATAAAACAATTCTTCAACTATAGTTTTCAATTTTGAATGATAACATGAAATGAACAAAATCTGTAAAATCAACGGGATCAGAAATGTATATCAAAGATGTGTCACGTTTTTAAATAAAAGATACAAAAATAATTTAAATTTAAAAAGTTTAAAAAGTAAATTTTTTTTAGAGAGCCAGACATGACTGAATTAATCACTTTTATAAAAATATATAATCCAAAAGAAATATATAATCCAAAAGAAATGGAAGAAAGGAATTTTCCAAAGAAATTTATGCAAGAAGAAATACGGACAAAGCAGCAGTTGCCAGAATCTGAGATGATTCTGATCTGGCTAAGGAATGAACATACTGAAATGCTTCTTTGCCACACAGATTGCTAAAGAACAAAAAAACACGTGACTTAACACCAATAATGGAGTTGAGATTAAAAACAATTGAAGTATGACCCAAATAAATGCACACATTGCATTTCAGTAAGGTAATTAACAGACAGGCAAGGACAGGGTAAGCCAGTTGGAACAATGTACTAGAATAGAAAAAACTGCAACATAGGCTGTCGTAAAACAAGAATGTTTTCATTCTCGTTAGAGTCATTGCTTTCAGCAGTCTCCACAGAAAGGACTCAAAAGTTAATAAGCCTGAGCCTGAATTACCTTTGCACTACCTTTCTATATTTGAAGTCACCCTTCAAAAAAAGCTCTCTTACCTTTTTAAAAAAAAAAAAGTATCTTACAACATTTGTGACTACAGCAGTGGCTGTGTTTTATTTTTCTCCTTCCTATGGTATAGCTGTGGAAATACTACCTCGGAAGGAAATTAATTAGATTAAAATAACACCAGAAAAGACTGAAGGAATAATGCTCTCTTTTTTTACTCATCAGAATAGCTATACATTCTTTAAGGGACCAATTGACTTAATTGCAAGTCAAATACTATCAGCATTAAAACTAGAAAGAAATATTTCAGATAACATTCTACCTGGAAGATTTTCTCACTGATTTCTCGTTCATGTAAGGGGACTTGCTTATAGTTTCGGAACTCTGCCACTTCTCCACTTCTGAGCTGCAAGAGTCGGAATCTCTTTGATCTATTAAATTCCTCATCAGAAACAAAATTAAATTCTTGCTGCAACTGTTCCAATCTGAAGAAATCAGGAATGTGTGCTTCTCCACTTGTGGCAACCTAAATTAGTCAAAAAAATACTAACTTTTTCATACAAAGTGAAAAAAGTCTATAAAATAGCTTTTGTAAGTCTTACATAAGTATTTGCAAGGATATTAATTTTAAGCAAAAGCAATTGAGACATATCAAACTGAGTCTGAAATGCTAAGTGTTTTAAAGTAGGTTTTTGTTGAGCAAAGTATATGAGTACAGTTAAGAAGAAAATAAAATTGTATTTCCTTGTAACATAACCAAACCATTAAAGAGTAGAAAAACTATAACATAGCAGAGTAACCTAGGAAACTGCATTGTAAAGACGACTGATTACACAACTTCAGCTATGTAAACAGCTCCTCAATCTGATGTCTAGAAAAGTCCCAATTTCTATAATACACTTGATCTCTTTGTGCAAGTGTCACCAATGAGCAACTTCCTACTTAATTCCATCCAAGTATGCTGAGAATACTGCTGAACTTTAAGGAAATAACAAACTCAAAATCTGTTGGTTGGGTTTTTTTTTTAAATTAATCAGTTTAATTAATTTTAAATTAATCAGTTTGCATACTACTGAATGGGTTAATAAAGCATACTTATTAAGAAATCATTAAACTACTATTAAATGGATTAATAAATCATACTTTTACTAGATATTTTGCTTCTTCACACTCACACAAGTATGTCCATCATAAATTAAAATGCTACTACATCCCTGGCACACATGCTGACTGCCTGAGAAGGTACTGATCCCTAGGTGCTTCACAGTTCCATTAGCCCTACAGCTCTGAAAAAGCCACCTACCTTGATCAGCTGCATCAGAGCTGCATTGTTTGGGTCATTTGGATCAAGTTTTGCTTCCGCTGCCCACTTAGCTAGTTTTTTCATGTCAGTTAAGCCCGATGTACCAATGGATGCAATTGCATCAGTAATTTTTAAAGCACTGAAAAGACAAAATTAACAGAATTTATACCTAAAACACATATGATTTAGCAATATAAAAAAGTATCTAAAATGTTAGAAACACCCAAAAAGCTCCCTAAAACCTGAATAAATTCCACTACACAATTCTTAGTTGAAGTTATGCAGCTAAGGGAATGTCAAAGAAAAGTAAGGGGGAAATACAAAGGAACTGGTGGAAAGGAACTTCTCTACAAGGTAGTGAGGTGTTTATTGATTAATTTATGTTACACCTACACTATTCCAGGTTGCTGATCGCTAGGAGGTAAGATGATAAATTGCCTCACAGCAAGAAAATTAACATAAAAGTTTTGACAACCCATACTGAAAAGACCTTCTCAACTGCACAGTTCCTGCTTGCGCTATGTCTTAAATCCTGTCTTTGACCTGTCTCCTGGATGGCTCAGACCCACATGGTAGCCTTGGTCTCTGCCCCCTTCCCTGCTGTTTCTGGATAGATGCTGGGACCTGATCCATCCCCTTGACAAGTCTGGGACTAGCTGCCAGCACCCTGCTCTGCCTGTTATGTTCAGCCCCTGTAGGACTGCAAGGCAGCTGGTGAGGACACTCTCTGTACTGGGACACCCTTACAGCCTTCTCCCTTGTGGTGAAGCCCTGCTTTTGGTCCTCCCTGATACTGCAAGTCCCAGCTCCACTCCTTATCCTTTGGATGTTTCTGCTCACTTGCATGTATTCAGAGTAGGCAAGGAAATATGGCAGGTAGTCTGGAGGCCATCTGCACAATGATTTACTGGCCAGGCTCTTGGCACCTTCTCACAAAAGCCACCCCTACTGGAAGGCCCATCACTGCCAAAACTTTGCCATGTAAACCCAATACACTGGAACATGCATGTTAGTCTTTGGGAATCCATCCTTATGTTTTAATCTCATGCTATTCTAGTCTCACTGAAGTCTGCAGGTTACTCATAATGCTGATCAGCAAATTACCCTAATGTCTGCAGCTTGGGTCAAAAACAGTAACAGTGATTTGGATGCAAATGTCTAGCCTCTAAATAAACAAAAATCTGACAGAATCTGATCAGCTGGAAGAGGTACTTGCTCAGTGTTAATAAGTATGGGAAAACTCTTAAAGCTTTACAGTGAGGTAACCTGAGTTAATACTTTCTATATATAATCTACAAAAAGACAACATTTCTAACTAAAATCTGTTTACCAAAAATGTGTACCCTAAGATATCTGCAGGGGATTACAGCACAAAGTAAAATACCCAAACCTAAAAGAAAAATATTATGGAAATTATTGATTATGAAAGTCTATTTTTTTTAATAGTAATGTAATGAGTTTTCCATGAATCTCTGAAAATTCATATCATATTACCTTGGTATGCCTGTGTTTTGCTGGGATACTGGAGGAATTAAGGGGATTCCTTTTTCTCCAACTGCCCAAGAGACACTATTGGATACTTTCCCAGAGGTCATTAAAGACATTTTGTTGCTACCATCAGCTTCAAATGAAAAGGACACACCTACAAAGAGGGAAAAAACTCAAAGGAGTACATTTATGTATTCAAATACAATGTTTAAACAACTTTAAAAATTCTTCCATAAAATAAATAGTCAAATAACCCGTGCCTTTATATAAATAGGGCAACGTGAAAAAACATCTGCTGCATGCTGTGGGGAAGGACTCTGCCCTACAAAAGGAGTGAAAAACACCACTCCACCTACAGAAAGGCTTTCCATTTGGGTTGGAAAGAAAGGCCATGACTTGAAAGCTATGCCAAAGGCTTTTTTTCCTTCACACAATTTCATATTTCTGGTAATTTTCTGATTCAGCATAGTGTTATTAATGAAACAGAAATTCATAGTCAAAAGAATGATGCATGACTGAAAAGTCAGTCTTAAAGCTTTGTGATATACAATTGTAATACAGTCATCGTGGTCAATGACATTTACACACATTTGTTGTAATAATTTTTTACCACATTTCTTTCCTTGGCAGCTTTCTATCAATTCTTCTGCTCTAGCTTGATCTGTATTCCATATATGGCAAATTTATGCAAGTCAGTCCTCACACAATCCTGTTCGAACATATTATATGAACTTGGAAGTTCCATATGCCACTACGTATTATTCTTGTTTCCTCTTTTCCTACCTCTCCCCTGTTTTATCTTTCTAAAGTCCCAGGAATAAAATGTGTTGCAGAATGTCATAAAAGCAAATAGGAAGACAAAAAAAAAATAATCTGCATATACACTTACACAGCCAGTTCTTCAGTGGTTTAAAACAGTAAAATCACTGGAGCTATACTGATTAATACCATCTACTTGCTCTGCAGTGACAGAGGCCTGATTACTTACTACTAAATTACTTAATACTAAAAAAAACCCAACAACCCACACATACCTTCTATAGCTACTAAAGCTCTACTGATACAAGCCAAATAATAAACACACATTTTTATTATATACAGCTTAAAATACGTAATACAAAAATTTCACAGCAAACTTATAAGAATCACAACTATTTTATAAGATTCAGATACAGAACCTGCAAATGCAAAAACCAGAATTTACTCTGAAGCTTATGCCAGTCTGTTACTGTTATATGGCTTCAGAAGAATGAGAAACATTGTACTGAGAAAGACTGAGAGTCCTTACCACTCCCAACTCCTTCATGGTCCAACATCACACGCTGATTGCTGCTGAACTCTATTTCTTCCAAAGGAGCATTGCCTGTCAGAACTGTAGTCTCAGGAACAGGTATGAACACTTCAGCCAACAAGGTGGTACTGCTCATACCCATTGTTTCATATATCTAGGACAAAACATGATGACAGATACAAGAAAATAAATTGAAAGTGTTTTCATGAGAAGTTGAAAACTTATTGTAAGGCATTCAGACAAAAGGTTTTACTATAACTTAAGCATGAAATAATTCATTTAAGGTGATCGTATTGATTTACTTTCTAAAATATCCAATTAGCAGACATTTCAACTACCAGCAGCTATCTTGGCCTGAATTTTTCTTAAAAGTATATTCACCTCCCCTTTCTAATGCACCTGAGAATAGTACAACAAACTCTAGGCTTTAAAGAGCATCACTGCCCAATATGCAACTGCTTGTGACAGTCACTGGCTTCATGTGACGGTGCCAAAGGATTCTGCCTCATTAATTCCCCCTTACCATGAAAGGCAGGGTAAGGCACACAGCTCCTGTTCCAGCAGTACCGCAGGCTGCTCCCCGCTTTCCTGGCCAGTTGCAGGCTCAGAATGACATGAGCGATTTCTCCATTCAGATGTTTTTAATTCAAGAAGATGGGATTCTTTTTCTCTTTCAATTTGTGTATTACATAAATGGAGCAGGTGAGGGGTATACACCCTCCTCTGAACTATCAGTAACAAGTTACCTAACAGGAGGGTAGGTAGGGTCCTGTCCATGTTCCCCCTAAAAATGTATTGTATTGTCTCTGAGAATTATTCATGTGAATCATTCATTAATTTATACTTGGTATGTGGGTGGTGGTGGTCTGACTTAACTGCACTGTTTATCAAGTGCAGTTATGGACATCACTAGCAATTAATTTTTTTCTTATACCCCTTCAGCAAACATGATCATTTTACTGTATGGATAATAACATTTTAAGATTACCATTTTGCCAAGTCTATCTACAACAGAAATCACTTTTTCTAAAATTAAGAGGCTGCTTCACTGACATATTTAATCACATGCCCCAATTATTTTAATTTCCACCATGCAGCCCATAATAATGTTTTCTATATCACATATAATATTTATATATATAT